GAGAGAGAGAGAGAGAGAGAGAGAGAGAGAGAGAGAGAGAGAGAGAGAGAGGGAGAATGAAAGAGAGAGAAAGGGAAGGGGGGAGGGACATACTATTTATGTCCTTTCTTGTTGTGACACAGTTGTGAGTGTACATGATTGCGCATGAATTTTGTAACATCACTGCCTTTGTAAACAACCATGCCAATTTTTCCCCTTGCCAGATGGATTAAGATTGTAACTGTTAAAATAGAAAAAAACAAGAAAAGATAAAAGAGACTACCAAGGACATGCAAAGTTACAGGAAGTCACTCCTGTCCCTGTATCTCATAATGGGACAAAACTCATCCTACAGGTCTCCATTGAGTTCTTTAAACACTTCTGTTAGTGTTAGAACAGAAGAGACAACTTTATTGTTCCATGTGCACAGATGTAAGAGTTTTTTAAACCTCATCCACACAATTTATATCATTTACAAAGCGAGCTTCCGACCCTGCCTGTAAGGGCCAACCTGGGCTGAGCAGAATACAACATCCCAGCAGAAAGACCAGGATACTTGATCAAAATTCGCCCCACTCCTAAACTTAACTCCGCTCTCCTGCATGAGACAGTATAGTGCCAAACCCCTACACCACAGATGAAAGTTTGCTCCCTACGGGGAGATTAGCATAAAATGAAAGGCACAATAGTCAATAATATATGTCAGGACGTGGTGGAATCAGGCACTCGTCAATTTTTGGGCATGTAGAGTTATTGGTATCATCTTAAAGCTTGTGCACTTGTCTAGCTTTAGATGAAAAAAAATATCCATTTATCTTGAACAGAAATAAAGATATTTGCGAATGAAAGAGGCAGTCACTTAGTTTCAAGAGTTAAAATTAATGAGAAAATGGTCGCCAAAGACGAGTTATTTTCTTAGCTTGAGAGTCTGTGAAAACAGAAAACTTACACATTTTTTTTGCCTTTCATCAACGTTTTTCTGTAAAAATCCACACAGAAATTTGTTCTTTAATGGGCATGAAAGGTATTGAGCCAAAAAAAGAAAATTCGAAAAAAATCACAAACCTGCGGAAAAATGCCAGTTTCTTCACTTTGATTATTTTGACAAGCGCCTGATTTCACCACACTGCCTCACATACATAACATCACTAACTAAAACATTCACACGCCGTTATTAGCAACAATGCTTCAGTGCCCTGTCTTGAGCTATGGTCAATACATCTTGCTCAGTGATACATGATGCATCCCAGTAACCGTCCACCTACACCCTGCATAACCAACATTGTTTGACAGATACTTAAGTGCTGACTGCAATCTGATCATCAGGCTAAGGAAGCCAAAAGGTTCTACCTTCCCATGTGGGTGTAAAGTAAAAAAAAAACTGAACCAGCGGAAGGATAAAGTCTAGTCAGGGTACTCATCATACTAAATTTACCACATGCTGATACAAAGCAAAGTTTTAGTACAAGTTTTACAGCACTTGCAACACAAAGAAGTTTTTATAAATATGCAAAAGATTAGAGGGTAAAACATGCAAAGAAAAGAAGAAGGAGTGATAAGAACGATAGATGTTTGAAAGAGGAAAAAAGGAGCAAATAACATACCTTGCCAGAGGAAGTCCGCTGCAGCTTGTCCTCCAACATGGCCACTCTCTCATTTGCCTCCCTCTCCAGCTCCTCCACTGTCTGCACCAACACCTCATTCTGCTCACTCAGGTCATTCACGTACGACTGCAGCACTCGCACACGCATCTGAGAATACAATGCATAAAATTTAAAAACAGATGCAATACTGAAGCACAGATGTGTATGTGCGTGTGTGTGTTTGTGTGTGAGAGAATGTGTGTGTGTGTGTGTGTGTGTGTGTGTGTGTGTGTGTGTGTGTGTGTGTGAGTGTGTGTGTGATTAAGTTTTTTATCTTAGTAATGAGCCAATGCAAAAAGATGTACCTATATCTCTACAGATTTGGGCCATATCTTCCTCAGTCTCAAGTCTACTGCCACTTTATCTAATCTTAAATACAACGCAAGGAAGAAGCTTCTAGCCTGCAGCACCTTTCAAAAACTTAACTAGAGGATTCTCCTGCTGTGAAACCCCTGTGACTCACTGTCCTATTATTATTATTGTGATGAAATTGTGTATTCAAAGTGCTGGCAAATGCCAGCTTTCAGCAAAAGCAGCGTCATAACCAAATACTGTTTTGCAAAACAGGGCATTTAGTCCCAGATCTACTCATCACAATTATTGATGTAGGTCAACTGTCTACTCATCACTACTTATGTCTACCTATACTTATCATCAAATAATAAAATTTCACCCCCAGTAATTTCATACAGAGTACAAAAAACATTAATAGTAATAGATGCAGTAAATAAATTAAGGAAGGACTTCCGTAACCAGCGACCACCCCAACAAACACAATAAAGAAAAGACCTAGCCCTATCCCAAACCCAAACTTTAACCCCACCCGAGCACCAATCAATTCGTCATTATGGTCATTTCGTCACACCAGTGCAGTCAAGACGTCACATCCCAAATCCACATGGTTGAGTGGAGACGGTCAATTCGTCACACACTTTTGTAAACATCAAACCTGCATTGTCCTCGCAATCGCAAATTATCGCGATTTAAAAAAAAAAAAATTGGGGGGGGGGGGGGGGGGGGAGTGGAAAGGCAGGGGTCATCGTGCCTACCTGATCAGCTACGGTCATAACTAGGTGAGTTTTGTTGAGTTATTGTTATTGGTGGGAGGGGTCAGGCCAGGGCCGGGGGGGGGGGGGCAGTTTTAGGCATGAGTTACTTTTTTAAAAACAAGAGGGCACGGTCCAACAAATACGTTCTTGACTTAGTGATTTAGAATAAAGACTGCTATCACTGATCCTCCAAAACTCTACTAGCACTAGCATAGCAATTTTCGAGCGATAAGCAAAGTTATTTTATCACACATAATTGTGGTGTGACAAGATGACCGGTTTCCCCCCTACCCCTAGATCTACCCTGTCTCATATATAGTGGTCTCTCGTTATAGAGATTTAGTTTAAAAAGCTAAAGGCATCAGGCATGTATCAATAAAAAAGTGTTAAAATTAAAAGTCTATTATTATGTTTAGATAATTAATATAATAGGATAGGCCGGTAAAATTGAAAATTAGCAGACCACCAGCCAGGAATTGTTTTGGCACTAAAAACTGTCGCAAACTAGGCCTATCTAGATCTAGATCAAGATCTCTAGATCTATTATTTTTGTGACTTTAGCCTTAGCAGAGGTTCACCCCCTTATCAGTTATCTACACCCCCCCTCCCCTTTCCCCCTTCCTAGGACTATTATTTCTACCTGAGTAGATCTAGTGGTGGTCTGCTAATTAATGTTCAAAGAGGCCAATAGGCCTACTGGATATCTAAATCTAGATCTAGATCTAATAATACTTTCACTTTAGGCTTTGTTCACTTTAATTTTAGTTACGTAGCATAGAGTGGAGGGACACAGTACCAGTCACAGTCTCAGTAGCCTACTGATTGATGACTGATGAACTGAGGTCAGAGTCTGCAACAAACCTTGGATGTCTCTTCTCCTGCCTTGTCAGCATCATCAAGTCGCTTCAACTTCCCTTCATATAGACCTTTGAATTCCCCCAAAAGACTTTGCATCTGCCCCTTTCTGCTGCTAGACCCTGACGGGGGCAGACTCCTAACGGTACCACTAACGGTTCCTGATGAACCGTGGCTGCTTCCACTGACGCCATGGTTGCCAGGGACGGATGGAGAACCATATCGCCGACTAGACGGGCTAGATGTCCTAGAATATCTGTCGGCCATAATTAGGCCTTTATCCCGATTCATTCATTTAACTTTTTGAAACGAAATGTTTAGCAGCAGCACTAAAGCATCTTTTCTCAACACAGCCACATCGACTCTTCATGAGACGGTGGCCATACTTCTCAAAACATGGACCGGTGGGGACTTGTGTTTACAAATCTCAGCCATTGGCTATTCCGACCCATGTGACTTTTGTAAATCAAAGAGCTGATTCCATTTATTTTGTACGATTGACAAATCATTAAAACATTTATAAGTTGCAAAGCTGAATAAGTATCGTGCTAAAACAGTTGAATGCTAGAGTTTTAACTTGTTTTCCTTATTATGTAGCGTTGTCAATAATGTTTAACCCTCTTGAATTCGTGCCTCATTTAACACCACTAAAAACTCACTAAAACCTCCCTCAAACGTGACGATCATTGTTTTACTTTCGATTTCACGTCTTTGCTCGTTGTCCCTACAGTTCGCCTTGTTGGTGAAGGAAGCTATTGGTAAGAAAAAATTGGCTCTTCAATCAAGAGAGCAATGGTTGGATAAGAGACAGTTGTTATACAATCATTGGGTTGGATTATCTGGTTGAACTATATTGGACTCTGTGTGTAAAATTTAGGTCACATATCGTAGTCTTTATCAATGTAAAGATAAAAATTCCTCAGTTCATTTATCATGTAACTATGCACAGTCACAGAATTCTGTGTGTACAGTACATGTATATCTTGGTCAAAAGCTCGGCCTGACCTTGACAAAATGTGTCTAAATAAACGACTGGTAAAAACAAACAAGAAAATAAACACACACAACCAACAATTATTGTCTTTCTGTCACTGTGCGTGTGTTCAACAGGAAAAGACGCACTCACCTCCCCCACCCTATCCGTCCCTTTTATCCCTTTTCTGCTCCTTTGTCCTTTTTTCAAACTCCCTTCATCATGCTTATAATGACAATGTAACAGTTCTTTCAGTATTTCCGTGTGAGAGGGTGCGTGTGTATATTTATGTTATGGGTATGTTTGTATTGGTGAGTGTGCTCGTAATTATTTGTGTGTACAAGTGCGTGCATGTATATAAATATATATACAATGTATATAGATAGATAGATAGATAGATAGATAGATAGATAGATAGATAGATAGATAGATA